CTCCAGGAAAGCAGGGCTCCATCACGCGTAACGGTTACTTGGGAAGACAAACGCCATCACTCCAAACGTCCTCCCTTCCTTCTTCTTCCCCCAGCTTTATATACTGAGCATGACGTCACATGGTACGGAATATCCCGTTGGCCAGTTTGGGTCAGCTGTCCTGGCTGTGCCCCCTCCCAGCTTCTTGTGCACCTCCAGCCTTCTCAGTTGGTAGAGCATGGGAAGCTGAAAAGTCCTTGACTAGTGTAAACACTACCTAGCAACAACTAAAACATCGGTGTGTCATCAACCTTGTTCTCACCCTAAATCCAAACCACAGCACTGTACCAGCTACTAGGAAGGAAATTAACTCTATCCCTGCCGAAACCAGGACATACGTTAACATCCCAGATGTGAGGTTAGTGCATGCTAATGTCTGATGTATGGCTTTTATACCATATCCCTGTCCTTTGCTTTTTGAGGATGAAAGCGGTTTTGCTCGCAGGTATCGATATAGGCTCTCTTGCGTACGCAGGAGGTCCCATTCACATGCTCCATATATTTCAGTCTCCTTGTGCTGGGTGCATATGCTGACTGCCTCACATTTATCGGGTTATCTGCTTCCTTCATTCAGGGTCCTATCAAATCTTCTTTGGTCTGTGAAGCAGCAAGAAGTGCAGATAGACAAAAAGCGTCTTGAATCTAAAATTTCAACAGTGGGACCTGTCTTTAATTTTACACATAATAAATGACTAGCCTTACCACAGCCATTGTTGGTGTTGGGATACTGACTCAGAAAAGCGCTTCAGCGCATGTGCTTGGCTGCTACTGTCTAGCAGAGTATTTATGTCTCAACTGACATGTTTATTCCTGTTTTGAAGAGGGAACTGGCAATAAAAGGAGAGCAGTATGATGGGTACCATGTGTATTGGAGGACAGATCTGTCAGTTGGATTTCTGTCTCATCGTATCTTAGTTAGATAGAAAAAGAGCTTGAAGGCATGTTGGGTTGTTAATGAGATGTTGGAGAAAAGGGAAGCGTCATCACAAGGTATCAACCACGTGTAATTAATGTCCGAACCGTTTTGGGTGATTATCATAAGATGGCTGAGGAGAACTCTGAATCTCTTAAAAAAAAAAACAACCCACCACCTCTTAAACATTAAAGAAAATAAAAGGTTATTCAAGTGATTTAAACGTATTTTCTTAAGTCTTATATGAACCCATGATTTCTCCATGTAGGCCAAGTCCTCCGTACCTGCCTGTCTGCCTAGATGAATTCATAGTAATCCAGTATGTGAATTTGGCATTGTATGCTTAAAAGATCAGTGAAAGAGCCGTTTCCCATGCTTGTTTTTCATATGTTATTAACTTCATTTCCAAAACAGTGGTTTCCAAACTCCAGATCAAATTTGCTCTCACTCAGACTTTGCATAGCTCTACTTAGAGTAGCTGAAATGCACAGCGGTGTTAGGAGAGTGTTTCAGACTGTGCCGAGGACGAGCAGTCACGCCCAGGCTGGCATTTTAAAGTTGAGATTTGTTTTAGGTGTTTGCTCAAAAGTTGGAAGCAGCCTCATTTCTCAGTTAAAGAACAAAATCATTACAAGCTTCAAGCCTTAAAGAAAACAGGAGAAGTAAATAAGAGTATTTAAACCTTATTAATGATGATACCATTGATGGTGTCGTGCTATCACTTCAGTTTGTCTGCCTTTGTAGGCTGAGTCCCCTAGAATGGCTTTTACGGTCTAAGCATCAAGCCAAGACCTAAGCCATTAAATGTCATCAAAACCCAGCAGATTTCGTTATGTGGAATAATTCATTATGTGGAGCAGCCATGTTGTCATGTTGCAGGCTGCTCTGCGACTTGGAGTTAAGTGATCTGTATCAAATTTTAACGAGGATCAATTTTCCTATTACTTTGCTTCCCTATGTGTGTTTTTGCAATCAGATTAGCAAAGATCCTCTCTGTATTAAGACCTGAAGTAGTTTACAAAGTCTGAGTTCATGCATATTTGAAGGTTTCTTAATCAATGGGGCTCACAGATGTCTCCATCTGAAGAAAGTGCCCCAGCAGCAACTGCTCCCTGTGGTTTTGTTCTTTGGAACAGGGTGCCTGGAATGGCTTCAGTAATAGCTGGGCCATGTTCTTCAATTGCGGTGACAATCAGGATCGTGTTAGTTTTGGCTCTTTCTCTGCTTTTTTTTTTTTATTTTAAACTATGATATAAGTAAGATATTTGCTCAAAACTAAGTTTTACCAACTTGATTCCTTTTCCCAAACCTCTCATCCATCTAGGCGTTGTTATTTTGTACACTTACTACGCAAGTGGCTTTTATTCTGCTCTCCTTGTTAGTGGTTTGGTTTTTTTATACAGCATCCCTCTGAAAAGCTATTAATTAAAATGGCTTATTGGAAAAACCAGTCTGGATTTTTTCCCCTGCTCTTAAACAAAATTTAGTAGGAAGCCTTTGGATTGGAGCTCTGGATAATATTTCCTCTTTGGCAATCCTGCTAATCATTGCTGACAGATATTTCTTTCAAAAAGATTGTTTTGCATAGACAAAACTTGGCAGAGAGGTCACCTCAGAAGAGAAGTGGAACAATAGGAAGTCAGTTGCTCATTTTTTAAAAACAGCCCTTTTTTTTTTCTTCTGTCTGCATTACGGCTGGAGGTCTAAGCAGTGTGCATCTCCTGATGGAGAGAGGTCTCTGCCTGTTAGACTGCTGGGGTCAGGGGATGGGATTTCGTGGTTGCTCACAACCACCTAAGATCTTGCAAGTGGCTGGTGGCAGGGCTGGCCCAGACCCTTTTTCCTATCGCTTCCCCGGTAGATGAGGAAGGGACCAGGTGGTATGAGCTTTACTGGGGGAAGGATCATGGAAATGTGAAGCCTTTCCCGAGATGTGTTGTACAGTTGTGGAGGTCTCCGGTCCCCTCCGCAAGCCCATGCTACATGCCCATCAGTAGAAACTGCTCATCCCTAAATAAGCGTGAGTGCACCGGGAAAGATAAGCATCAAGGCAAGGTCAATACTTGCCCGGCCCAAGCCCTCGCACGTGGGGAAATGAATCATGAAGTGATGTATCGGTACCTGTTTACGCCTCCTTTGCTCATTGACAGACACCGTGCTCTGACCACAATTGCAGAGCACAACACGCTGCGCACCGCAGCCTTCACGCAGGCACAGAAATGGGAGCCGTTTCCATTAATAGCTGCTCTGCACACGTCTGAATTACAATTCTTGCAGAGCCAGCTGCTTCGTCAGATACCCGCAACCACTGGTATGGGGTAGGATAAGTGACCTGGCGAATGAATGCAGAATTAGGAAATGGGTTGAGGTTGTGGTGCATTGTAATTTGGTAAAAACAAAATAAGTTGTGTACTTGGGAGTGGAAGGGAACATCTGGTGGAAACAAACACATCAGTGTTTGTTTGCAGGACCAGGTTTATACTGGGCATATTGAGCGTTTACCAGCCCCCCTTGCATCGGTGTAAGTTTGACGGACAGTTCCTCGGCCGATACACGTGAGCATTGTACCCCCGAGAGGGGTCAGGGAAGGCTGCGAACCCCTTACCGGGCTCTGATGTATGCTTAGTTGTCATTCCAGAGTGAATTGGACTTGGTTTGCTCAAACACCAGGAAGTCATGACTGCTTGTATCGGCCCTTGGTTTAGGAAGGGAGAGTGCTCTTCAGGGCTTCCTTTTCTTTCCCTGTTCCCTCCATGGATGTGAAGATGATGAACATTCAACCTGGTATTTCCCTTGCCTCCTCTGCTGATGAAAAGTTTTTCTGCCCCCAGTAACAATTTTGTTGGCATAGGGAACGTGCTTCAGAAGTGTGAACGAACCATCCCTTCGGCCATGACTGAAGTACCTATTTTGACGGGAATTGTAGCTTGCTGGGCCACATGAAGCACCAAAGAGTTGCCTTGGACGTGTGCAAAGCCAGCCAGCCTTGAAGGCAACTTGAGAAGTTGGCCAAGGCAACTGAACAGGAGGGGCAGCGAATCTGGAGAGCTTTCTTTGCTGGCGTCTTGAATGCCCGGAGGGTGGTGAAACATCTCAGGCCAGCCTTAGGCAGATGGAGAGGCAGAGCCACCTCTCCATGGTTGGTGGCTGGGAGGTTTTGCAGATGGCAGCAGATGGGAGGATTATCAGGCTATAGACCTGAGCGCTCTCTATGCTGTTACCACGTCAGAAGGAATTGCAGGTTTAAAGCAAAGCATTGGCTAAATGAACAAGACAACAGAGGATTGGCTGAGGAGAGGAAGACTGAGAAGAAACGTGGTCATCCTTCTACTTAACCATTTACAAGAGCCAGACCATTTTAATTCCTCTTTCATCCTGTCCTGGAATACAAGAAAGCACTTGATACAACATAAAATGCATTTAAATCTGATGAAGATGTCTTTTTTTTTTTTTTTTTTTTTACCATATACTATTGGTAGGGGTCACGGTCTTTAATTATCACCTGATAACAACAGCTTTTTTAAAATTTGAGGTAGCTCAGCTGAATAATGAAAATAAAACACGTAAGTAAGAATTAGCCTGGGTAGTTTGACTTGTTACAAGGCAGCATGGAGAAGCCTTTGAGCTGCTGTGGGAGTACCTGGTAACAGAAGACCAAATTGGCTCCATGAAAATGTTGGGTTTGTTCTACAAGCTAAGATCCTTCCACTTTCTTTGGAAGAAAATGGGAGTGATTTTTACTAGCAACAGGATATTGGATGTAAAAGGGCATCTATTCAATCTGTTCTATTCTGTGCTATTTTCTATACCCTTTGCTCTTTATATTGGTAGCAATAATTACTCCGAAAGTCTCATTTTTTTTTTTAAGTTAATTATTATGTTAGTAAGGGAATTAGCTGTTTTTCAGATTTACTCTTGCCCTGACTGTTATTTAGCCATATCCCCATTTATGTAAAGGAAGTTCATGTTGCTGTGAGAAGTATAAATATGTATTAAGGTGGAGATTTTTTTCTAAAAAGGGTGGCCAAATTAGAAGAATAACTAAGTAATATTAGATCTCTTGTAAACAGGTGTTTTAAATACATATTTACAGAACTTGTGATTAAATAATGGCCCCAGCCCTTAAAATCTAGTCCACACACCTAAACCCTTCCCTATACCGAATATCATTAGTGTCCTCGGGCTGTAGTACAGCCAGATCCTTACAGCTTCAGCTGCAGGAGAGGAGCTTTTGTTATATCGTCTCGTATTCATTTGTTTTATATTGTGAGAGCAGTGTTGTGTCCATGATAATGTAAAGATATAAGAAAGATGATGTTTGTATGATACCAGCTTCCAGAGTTGAAAAAGCTGTGTAAACATTTGGGCATCCAAACTTAACGAAGGGCTTTTTATTTGAAAGCTCTTTTGTTTTTCCATTTTATGTGTCATTCTAGTAAAGTATACTGCCTCTCTCCCAAGTCTTGTTTCTCTTGCATTTATTTTTTCCTTAACTTGTACAACATTATATGCATTAACATACTTGTTTTTCATGATTATATATGTATAAATCCATTAAATGGTATGATTTAATAAACAATAGGTTTGAAATTATGCATTTTACTAATGTGGGACACATTCCACTTACAAATGTGTCTAAAAGCATTTCTTTGGGCACAGTGCCTTTTTTTCCTTCTGTTCCTTATCTGTCCTTCAAAATAATCAGTATGTTTTTAAACTGAGAGGACGGGGAAGGTCTGAAACATTTGTTTTGGCATTTGCTTCAATGATATGATTGTGGTTGGTTGGTTTGATTTCCTCAGTAACCAAAAAAACAAACCAGAAGTAATTTCTCCTTCATCATCTAATTAAATGCAAACAGTACATGTGCTTTTTGTAGATGCTCATAAGTTCATCCCATAAATTTCCATCCTCATCCTAAACCTGCCAGCCTATGCACCAGTAGAAACGGGATATTTAATCTGCTTCAGCATTTAACATAATGTGCCAGATTCGGGTGAAGTTCAGATAAGAAATCATGTCAACTTTTAACAGGTTGGCCTGTCGAACATTACAGTCTGTTAGTTTATTAAGTTACTAAGTTTTAATATACTAAATGTTAGAGAAAACAGTGTAATGTTGGGTATGTTGAATTAATCCAATATTAAAAATACTAACATTTCTTCACATATTTTACAAATCCGTGCCAGATTTCCCTATGGATTCTAATAATGGCAACTGTAGAGGCGCCGGCATTGGTGAGTACACTTTTATAAAACTGTATAATAAGCTATAGTCTTTCAAATCCTTCTAATACTTGATTAAGTAAGAGGGGTACTAAGTGGTGTTTAAATACTCTGTCTTGTCTTGGAATCCTGTAGATTATGCTTTTTTATCCCGTGGGCAGGTGGGATTTGGGGCTGGTCAGCCTGTGGACCTCTCAGCAAGCAGCTCAGTTAACTCTTCAGCGCATCTTTTAGCGCTCTTCTCTTCTGCTTTTGTCAGGGCAAAATTTCCATCAAATCAAAACGGCTGTGCTGATTTCATTACAAGTTTTGTCTTGAACTGTGAGAATGATCATTAAATGGATTTTCACTGGGGAAAACCAGTGAAGATAATGGTTCATTCTGACTTCAAAGTTTGCAAATTAAATTCTGACCTCTTTGTAGATAATGGCAAAACTCTCCTTAACCTGAGGCAATCGAGGCTAAGACCTTCTGAGACTGGTTTTATTCCAGCAGGTCCGCTGTCACTTTTATTTTTGGTTTGGTTTGGTTTGGTTTTGCTGGAACTGAGTAAACCCCCTTGAGTGTTATCGCTAGTCATAGGCAATGCAAAGAAACAAAGCTCAGATTGGTAGCTAATAGGTTACAGAAATGTGAGTTTGTTGCTCAGGCAAGCCAATGACTATAGGTTTCCTTGAATTTTATTACCATTCCTTCAGAAGTTTTCGTTGTAGGCCTTTGTCAAAAAGATGACACTTGGAAACCTAGTGTTGGCCATCGTGTCTTTCCTTCTCCAGAGGTGTTGGCCAGCTACAGCACACACTGATGCGCAGTTTATTATATAAACGCCTAAGTATGGTTGTGGAGCATAAAATTAGATACCAAGTTTTGATAACTTCAGCTTTAATCTCTGTGACCTAATTGTAAAAAGGTATTGGTAATGCCCAGCTTATAATGCAGTTTTAAAATATGATCAGTAGGTCCCAATGTGAAAGTAGCTATGTAGGTGCAAAATGTTATTTAAATCACAGTGTGCATCCTTCAGAAAGCCAGCTACAATTAGAAAAACCTGACAAAGGTAAGCCCCTTGGCAAGCTTCACTTTAAATTGCCTTGAGCGCGTCTGAAAGACTTTCTAAAGATTTTTATGGCTAATATTAGTATCTTTTTAGTTTTAAGCCATTTTCAATTGCGTGACATTGAGAAATTGTGGATTTCATGCTCTACAGTGACTGGATAAAGAACATACAAGCTACACTTTGGGTATGAAAGTAAAACTGGATACCTTCAACATCACCTTATATCAAAAATATTAAACATATCTTTAGCACTGCCTGTCCTCCGGGATGCAGGCTGCATGTAATACCAGTAAGCAACCCTGCAGTGGAAGAGAAAAGAGTAAGATTCAGTTATACTGTTGCTGTCATGATGCTTTTCAACTAGCAAAAGCAATATGAGACCTAAAAAAATCCCATCCAAAAAATAGGGTGAAGATGCGCAGAAAAAGAGCTGATGAAAAGAAAGGGTAATAGTTTTATCACTGCTTTTTGCTGTAGAAACACAATTTCTGGTTCAGTGCACTACACCTGTTTCAGCAGACAAACACAGTTCAGCCACCTGAAAGGCTGTGTTTCATAATTGTTTTATTTATATGTTCAGTAAAGTAAATTTGTAATTTTGCCATTGTAAATTGAATTTTTTTTTTGCAAGTAACAACCTGATGTGTTTTAAAAAATCCTGGACTCAGATCTATGGTTTCTGGAGCACATTGCATGTGCTGCTGTGTACAGTTGCAGTGAGCGGTACTCGTGTATTACCCCTCTTCGAGGCACCTTTTATGCCTGGCAGTGTCCACTGGCAAAACCTTCTCTCTGAATCTGCAAGGGGTTTTCTGGGGGGGAGCTTTTTTGCCTCTTTTGGCAGTAAACTACATTGTTGTCTGCTTCATCAGATGCTTTTCAAGTCCCTTAGAAGTTTTTCCAGAGTTTTTTTTATCCTTAATTTATCAGGGAAGCATTTGCCAGGTTTTAGTGCTTGTACTCATCACTATTACAGCCAGGTTTTAGATTGTGCATGCATGTATATTTAAGATGGCATGTTTCTTGGTAGCGATCCGTGCAGAAAACCCTTTTTCCATGTAGTCCATTTGTTTTGGCATTTATAGGGAGAAGTTTTCAAAGGTCTAGATGTTGAGCTTTTGTTAGTCCTATGTTGACTTGTATTAAAAAAGAATATTTAATGGCAGCGTTAACTGACATCTCAGTCAAAACCGGTGTAAGCCTCTGCTGCCTGTCTCGGTGCTTGG